GAGATGCAAGTATTATGATAAGGAAGTATGTGGTATATCTCGCTTCAAACATCATCTTGCAGGAACAAGAAAGGACTCTATCGCTTGTGTTAGTGTTCCTGATGAAGTTAGAGCAAAAATGTTAGAGCTACTTGGTGCAACTGAAGAAGAGAAGGCGACTAAGGCAAGGAAGCTACATGATCTCAGTTTTAGTCGTGATGGAGAGGGTAGTGGAACTGCTAATGAAGCTAGTGGCAGTGGCACTGGAAAACAGAAAACAATAACTACAGTTTTGAAGAAAGAACTCCGGGAAAAGGCTTGCAAGTCGATATCAAAATGGTGGTATGAAAATGCTATTCAATTCAATGCAACTAGATGCGATAGCTATCACCAAATGTTGGAAGATATAGCTCGGCATGGTCCTGGTTTTAAGGGTCCTTCTTATCATGAGATTAGGGAGACTTTGCTGAAAGAGGAAATGCAGGAAGTGGAGAATAAATTGGGGATCTTCAAAGCTGAATGGAAGGCGGTGGGTTGCACAATAATGTCTGATGGATGGACAGATAAGAAACAGCGAGTTCTATGTAACTTTTTGGTTAATAGTCCTCGTGGAACTGTATTTCTTGAAGCTGTTGACACTTCTGATTTTTCGAAGACTGCTCAAAAGGTGTTTGAGATGTTAGATGGAGTTGTTGAGAAGGTTGGGGAAGAGAATGTTGTTCAAGTTGTGACAGATAATTCTTCAGCTTATAAGGCAGGAGGACAATTGTTGATGGAAAAAAGGAAGCATTTGTTTTGGACACCTTGTGCTGCTCATTGTTTGGATTTGATGCTAGAGGATCTTGCAAAGCATATTAAGGTGCACGAGAACACAATTTCCAATGGTAAGAAGATCACCAATTTCATTTATGCAAGAACAATGATGATTGCCATGATGAGGGAGTTCACTCAAGGGAAAGATTTGGTTAGACCTGCTGTTACAAGATTTGCTACATCATATTTGACATTGGGATCTCTTAATGACAATAAGGGTTCCTTGATGACAATGTTTTCTTCTGAGAAGTGGAGGAAGAGTAGCTTTTCTAAGCTTCGTGAAGGAAAAAGAGTTCAAGGATTTGTACTTGATGGTAGATTTTGGAAAAATGTGACAAATTGTCTTAGAGCTGCTCAACCTATTGTCAAGATTCTACGTTTGGTTGATTCTGATGAAAAACCGGCAATGCCCTTCTTATACTCTGAAATTATCCAAGCGAAGGAGAAGATTAAAAACAACTTCAACAATGTGGAAAGAAGGTGATTTCGAGTTTCCTTTTCCTATTAACTTATCATACAAACCTATATTTTTATTGTTCTAACTTCTAACTTCTAATTTGTTTATTCTCTATTGTGTATGCTTTATATAGATACAAGCCTGTCTTGAAAGTCATTGACAAAAGGTGGGAAGATCAAATGAGTAGACCAATTCACTATGCTGCATATTGGTTGAATCCTCAAATTCACCATTCTCAAGGATTTAACCATAATGATCCAAAGGTGAAAATGGGATTGTATGAGTGCATATCTAGACTTGCAAAGAATGATGAAGAGAAGTTTTTGATAATGGAGCAGTTGTCTGTATTTCGTCATGCTCGTGGAATGTTTGATAAGTATGGTGCAATGCAATTAAAGGATAGGCAACATCCAGCTGATTGGTGGACCGGATTTGGAGATGAAGTGCCAGAGCTTCAAAAATTTGCTCTTCGGGTGTTGAGTTTGACTTGTAGTGCTTCTGGGTGCGAGCGTAATTGGAGTGCATTTGAGAGGGTAAGTAATAAATTGCCTCTATTTTCTTTTCATCATATCGTTCATTCTTTTTACATGTGAATATGTGGTGATGTGAACTCTTTTACTTGTAGATTCATACTAAGAAAAAGAACAATTTGCGTGCACAAAAAATGAATGATCTTGTGTATGTTATGTGCAACAATAAATTGGTGGGCGGGAATGCCAAGAAAGCAAGAAGGCTTGAGATCGACTTTGAGGATATAGACTCTGATAATGAATGGATTTGTGCTAGTGATAATGAAGAAAGAGAACCACAATCTACAGATTTAGAGGTTGGTGGTGAGGAAGGTGGTCATACTATTGAAGGTGGTGGTGATGCTATTGGTGTTGATGCTCGAAGAGATGAGGAGGATCATGAATATAGTAGTCCACTTGATGTTGATGGCAATGGTGATGATGATGATAATGATGATGATTTGGATGCAAATGTGGAAGCCGATGAATTGATGAAGTTTTCCTTCTATCCTTTATAACATTTGTGTGCTTTGATTGTGAGGACTTGGATTATTAAACGCATATGTAATCATGTAAACTTAAACCAGCTTGTGAGAATTTGGATTCTTAACTCGTTTGTGGGATACGATTTATGTTTATGAACTTATTGTTATGATGTTATGAGTTTGTTCTAATTTAGACATGAATTGCAAGTATTTTTTCTTTTATCTAAACTCTGTGAACTCATATTTTACATAGTTTATGCCGTACTTAACATTATTTTAACTATTATACAGGATGCATAAAAAACTTACGCTTTTACGCTTTGATTCACCGCTTTTCGATTTTACCCCTTTTCCGCTTTTAGGTAGAATCGCGCTTTTAACTGCATTGAGTGGGACAAATCAAACAAAGCAAAAAGAAAAGCTAAATTAACAGAAATCACTTTTCTTCAACAACCTAGCCGTCCCCGGCAACGGCGCCAAAAACTTGACTCACTTCTACTGTCACTCCAAGAATTGGCCAAGTGTAACCACTTCCTAAAGCGTAGTATAGCGGGTTTAGGTTTAATTATCAACCCGGGTCCTAGATTTGATGACTACTCAGTGAATTCTTGTTATCTAGCAATGAAACTGGAATGCAAGTCTAAACTAAAAAACTAACAAAGCAAGTAAACGGTTGTATTCAGGTTAAGAGAGGTCACCCGGATATGGTTCCCCCTAGACTGCAGTTAAGCCGGATTGTAATTACCAAGTTCAGTTTCTATGACAGTTATACTGCGGAAGGTTCTCAAACAGCCTGAAGTCTCGACTAAAGGTCTTCAGACCCTCTCAATCTGAATCTCTAGCGGGCGACTAACCTCCACCGGAGTAAACAGATTGAGGCCTTAACAAACAAAACCTCCACTACCGGAGTAAATCCGGTACAGAATAGTGAGTTGGCTCCTCGACTAAAGTCACCAACTCCCTACCTTCAATCAAGGATGCTCTATCAACCTAGGCAGATATTCTCATTCTAGGTCAAAGCAGAAACAACAGGAATTTGATCAGGATTCAAGTCATTCAATCATTCAAACCTCAATCGAATATAATCAAATCATAGAATCAGTACTTGGGTTCATACAATAAAAGCCTAACGTACAAATCTAGGGTTCTCCATACCTAGATGAATGGGAGAACTACTCCATGGAGAAAGAAGCAAAAGCAGAATCAGACGCGGAATTCATACTGTGAAGGATGGATTCATGCTCCTGGACGTTGATCGGCACTTCTCCAAGCTCAAACTGGCCTCCAATGGTGTTGAAGATCAAGCTAGGGCGCTTGGAGACTCTTGTTCGTCGCTTTCTCTCTCTAGGAATCGCTTTGTCTCTCTAAAACTCGAATCCCCTTCTCTTTGGCTGAAAATCTGCTTAAAAAGCATCAGTGGCCAAAGCACGGTCGAGGGCACGGCCGTGTAATGCCTCAGCCCGCCCGTGCTTTGGCTAGTGTTAATTACACTAGGAGAAACACGGTCGTGCTTTTGGTAGGACACAGCCGTGCTTTGGTGAAGCACGCCCGTGTTCTATCTCAGCCCTGCCCGTGTTTTGGCCAATGTTTGCCAAACTCGAATTAGCTCTCGGCAGTAAAAGCACAGTCTCAGAACATGGCCGTGTTCTGATTTAGGTGTGCCCGTGTTTTGGCTCAGTTTCACCAAAATGACTTCCGAATGCCCCGAAACTCGTGCTTAGCCTTCCCTTTTACACCTGGGACTTGAAACATGACAAAATAGCACAACCCGGCATAAAATAGGCAAAACACACGACTATGCCCCTCAAACGGATAAGAACTAGGGGCGCAAATATGTGCAATTACATCGTTATCAGTAGGATAGCAATTTCTGAAACCACTGGTCAAAATTGATTATTTGAATATAATTCGGGCCATAATAAGGTATTATTAGCTATATATCGTAACCTAATTTTTTGTTTAACCCAAACGTTAATACGATAAAGCATGCTAAAACTACATCGGCATATGTGTATCCAATGAATATAAGTGGCCTGATTATTCGTTTCATCAAATCCTACGAAAGGCAACATATATATTAATGAAGACAGTGCACGGTGGGAAATGATCCCAAATCCTCATATTGCAATGGGTTAATAGCATTTTATATTCATGTACTATTGCAAGTTAACAAAGTACCACTATACTATTTTTTTGTACAAACATGTCCCTCTATTATGAATACATAACCAATGTGTCTTTCTGTCAAATTTTTTGTTATGTGGCCGTTAAGTGGAACGTAAAATGACCATTTGCCCCTCTTATTTCACTTAATAACCATTTTTTGTTTTACGTCTATGAATTTCATTATTTTCTCTATTAAACCTAGAGAATTACCACCTCCTCTACTAGTTCTTCTCCACCGCCGGAACCGCTGACCTCTTCCTTAAAGCTTCCCTAACATAATCCCAACCTTTCTACCCGTCGGAAACGGCATTCCCCTTGATCGTATGGCTCTGTAGCACAAATCTGGTACTCTCAAATCTTCTCTCTCTTCCCTGCATAGTCACCATAGCAAAACTCTAGACCAAAGCTCGAGAATCCAAAATTACCACGATTTCACAATAGAATCCTTGTCGCGTCGCCCATAATCAAATGAGTGAATCTCGAATCAACGCAGCCGTGATAGAATGGACGGTGAGCTAGTGTGTAAATTGTGGTTTGATTGCCTTTAATTGCGAATTTGTAGAAAATTGATCTATAACCCCTACTCTTAGCCGCCTCCATCACCCTCCCATTTCCCCTCTGTTTTGAATATCCATCGATTGGTACATAATTCCAGTCAAGTAGAAATACAACAGTGATGGAGACGATGGTTGGTGTGTAGACGAGGACAAACTTTGAGCAGGTAGAAGTTGTGGTGGAAATTGCTATGGCGGAGCGGGGGGATTTTTTTTAGACTCAACTGGGGGAGAGGATAGGGTTTCTGGGCACTTTGTGGGTTAAAGTTAATCACTAAATAAATTAATAATAATGAATAAAATACATGCAAACAAAAAAATAGCTATTAAGTTAGAAGATGAGGGTCAAAATAGTACTTTTTCATCTTATTTAACGGTTAAATAACAGAAAATTTAACAGTAGGGACGTCTATTATGTGTTCATAATAGAAGGGTATGTTTGAACAAAAAAATAGTACAGGGGTACGTTTGTTAATTTGCAATAGTACAGGGGTATAAAATGCTATTAACCCTATTGCAATCTATACATGAAAAGTCTATAAAGCTGGAAAAGAAAAACATGACACAATCGGTTTACGTGGTATCCTATTCGATATGAACGAGACTAATCCACGGAGAAGAAACCCTTCTCAGTTCTGTTTATTGTCTGCGTGTATAACTTGGGTTTTTGTTACAGGGGAGAAGCAATATATATATAAATATAATCCTAATGCTCCCATATCCTAGGGTTATACGTAGGAACCATAGAGTCAAAAGACAAAACAGCCCCTACAATAATTAATACGACTCCATCATCCCCTACCCCTACCCCCCCCCCCCCCCCCCCCCCCCCCGCGGCCACCTCGCGCAAGAGGAGTATGCAGATCACAAATATCGAGCTTGGAGAGAAGAAAATAGAACTGATCACCACCAAGGCCCTTGGAAAATATGTCAGCGAGCTGGTCACGTGAGGACACCTTGGTGGGGAGAACAGTGTGAGTCGTAACCTGGTCCCGCACAAAGTAACATACAAGCTCAACATGCTTCGTACGCTCATGGAATACGAGATTAGCTGCAATATGTAGAGCAGTCTGGTTATCACAATGAAGGACAGAAGGGCCAGACTGAGGAACACCCAACTAACAAAGGAGAGCACGAAGCCAGAGAACTTCATTAACGGCACTAGCCATAGCTCGATATTCAGCCTCAGTAGAAGATCGAGCAACAACGGTCTGCTTCGTAGTACGCCAAGTAATCGAAGCATTACCCATCAGACGAAATAGCCGGAGGTAAAGAGACGGGTAAGCTGACACCTAGCCCAATAAGTGTCACAATATGCAATCAAGTCCAATAAGCCAGTGGATGGCAAGAGAATGCCCTGCCTCGGGGAATTTTCAAGTAACGGATAACCTGTCTGCGGCAGCAACATGCGCATGAGAAGGAGAGTGCGCAAATCGACTGAGAATATTGACAGAGTAGACAATGTCAAGACGCGTGATAGTAAGGTTCTGTAAGCGACCAACCAAGCGGCGATAAGCAGACTTGTCCATCTCATGGGAAGTAGCCGAGGCCTCGGTAGAAGCACCATCTGGGTCACCAGGTGCTCGAGTAAGCTGGTGATTTTGTTCAATAGATGTAGAGATGGGACGCTCCCCCGTAAGACCTGCATCCTGAAGAAGATCAAGGGTCTACTTACGCTGACTCAAGAAAATACCCTTGTGCGAGCGAGCAACTTCAATTCCCAAAAAGTACTTCAAGGGGCCGAGATTCTTGATGCCGAACTGGTCATCCAACATAGTCTTGACGTGCTGAATGAATCCAGCATCATCACCAACAAGGACCACGTTGTCTACCTAGATTAATACGTAACAAAACTAGTGGAAGTCTTCCGAACGAACATCGAATAATTAGCAGGCGACCGTGTGAAACCCATACCAAGAAGAGTAGATGTAAACTTGGCATACCAATTGCGAGACCCCTCCTTCAAGCCATATAAGGACTTATGCAGACGACATACCCGAGTATCACCAGGAGCAGCAAAACCAGGAGGTATAGTCATGTAAACCTCCTACTCGAGATCACCATGCAGAAAGGCATTGTTCACGTCAAGCCGGTGAACTGTCCAACTGCGAACAGTAGCTACAGCAAGTAAAGTACGAACACTATCCAGTTTGGCCACTGGTGCATACGTGTCGTGGTAATCAATCCCTTCGACCTGTGTAAAGCCTTTAGCCACGAGATGAGCCTTATAGTGCTCCACAGTCCCATCCGGATGATACTTAATTTTATATACCCACTTGGGCGTTATGGCCTTCTTTCCTAGCGGCAAAGGAACCAAAGACTAAGTATGGTTGGCCTCCAATGCACCTATTTCAAATTGCATGGCAACACGCCATTCAATATACTGAATGGCTTGATGGAAATGATTTGGCTCAGGAACGGCGGACACCGAGGCCAAGAAAGCTCGATGACTAGTAGAAAATGCATGATAACTTACATGTTGAGCTAGGGGATGAGGTATGTTGGAAGGAGGCAGGTTCGTGTCATACACAACAAGATGACGAGGCACAAACTGCATCTGGTCACTGCGTCGAACCTCGGGCTAGGGAGGAGAGGCTTCTGAGGAAGTTGCACCCGAAGTGGAGGGTCGTCAGGCATCTCGGAGGAATCAGAAGCACCCTCGTCATCGGAGTCAAACTCATGCCGCTCGGCCGTAGCGGTAAGATCGGGATTGTCAAAGGGAGGCGGAGGAACTAGCCGAGGAAAAACAAGAATAGAAGAAGGAGCAGTAGTCTCCCCAGCATGGAAGGGAAAGACATGCTTGATGAAGACCACATCGCGGCTCACGTAGAACTTCCGTGCCGCAAGATCCCAGAGACGATACCCCTTGTGTTGAGACGGGTACCCAACGAAGATGGAGGGGTGTCCTCGTTCACTAAACTTCGAGAGACTCTTATGGGTATCCTTACCATAGGCTAGACAGCTGAAAACGCGGAGATGACCATAAGTAGGTGGGCGACCAAGGAGTAATTCATAGGGCGTTCGGTTGTCAAGAACTGTGGAGGGCAGTCGATTAATCAAGTATGTTGCCGTAAGAACTGACTCACCCCAGAATGCCAAAGGTAGATTGGCGCGAAACATGAGGGCACGTGAGGTTTCTAAACGATGTCGATGCTTTCTTTCCACGACCCCCCGTTCTGCTGCGGGGTGTCAGTGCATGAGGTTTGAAGAAGGATACCCCGAGCCTCATAGAAAGACTGCAAACTTGTTTGAAATTCCATCCCGTTATCGACCTGAATACGAGTAGTCGGCTGCCCAAACTGAGTAGCAGCCATGTTGACCATCATTCTTGAACCGTTTGAGAGTTGATTCTCGTGTTTTAGGCCGATTTCATGCTAGGTTGTTTGTTTATGTCATATTTCAGGACTTGGCGTGGATATAGAGGCGTGGAAACGAGTTTCGGGTCGAAAAGTGGAAAGTTGGAGTTAGAGGAGCTGTCAAGCAAAAATACTCGGTCAGGCACTAAAATAACTGACCGGGTAAACGAGAAGGAAGGACCGGGTAAAACTATTTTGAAGGCCAAAGAAGCAGAAGGGGTCCCCGGCCGCGAAGCTTAAATACCCGATCGGGTATTTCCCCCTGTCAGAGCGCTGCGTTTTGATAATACCCGGATGGTCCCCAGTAATACCCGACCGGGTATTAAGGCTGGGTATCGCGATCTTCCCCTTTTGAAGGGAAGAAAGCCTCTTTTGAGAGGGGATCTGATTTTTAGAGATAGAAAGCAGAAAACTGAGAGAGAGAGAGAGTGACGAACAGAACTTCCAAGTGCCTTAAATCGATCTCCAACACTATTGGAGCTCGGGGGAAGCTTGGAGAAGTGCTGATTGATTACCAGAAGCAGATTTTCATCCTTTACATAATGATTTCCGCGTCTGAAGCAGATTTCTATTCTCTCATTATAGATTAAACTCTTTCACTCACCTAGGTATGTTTGAACAAAAAAATAGCTATTAAGTTAGAAGATGAGGGTCAAAATAGTACTTTTTCATCTTATTTAACGGTTAAATAACAGAAAATTTAACAGTAGGGACGTCTATTATGTGTTCATAATAGAAGGGTATGTTTGAACAAAAAAATAGTACAGGGGTACGTTTGTTAATTTGCAATAGTACAGGGGTATAAAATGCTATTAACCCTATTGCAATCTATACAGGGGTATAAAATGCTATTAACCCTATTGCAATCTATACATGAAAAGTCTATAAAGCTGGAAAAGAAAAACATGACACAATCGGTTTACGTGGTATCCTATTCGATATGAACGAGACTAATCCACGGAGAAGAAACCCTTCTCAGTTCTGTTTATTGTCTGCGTATATAACTTGGGTTTTTGTTACAGGGGAGAAGCAATATATATATAAATATAATCCTAATGCTCCCATATCCTAGGGTTATACGTAGGAACCATAGAGTCAAAAGACAAAACAGCCCCTACAATAATTAATACGACTCCATCATCCCCTACCCCTACCCCCCCCCCCCCCCCCCCCCCCCCCCCCCCGCGGCCACCGCGCGCAAGAGGAGTATGCAGATCACAAATATCGAGCTTGGAGAGAAGAAAATAGAACTGATCACCACCAAGGCCCTTGGAAAATATGTCAGCGAGCTGGTCACGTGAGGACACCTTGGTGGGGAGAACAGTGTGAGCCGTAACCTGGTCCCGCACAAAGTAACATACAAGCTCAACATGCTTCGTACGCTCATGGAATACGAGATTAGCTGCAATATGTAGAGCAGTCTGGTTATCACAATGAAGGACAGAAGGGCCAGACTGAGGAACACCCAACTAACAAAGGAGAGCACGAAGCCAGAGAACTTCATTAACGGCACTAGCCATAGCTCGATATTCAGCCTCAGTAGAAGATCGAGCAACAACGGTCTGCTTCGTAGTACGCCAAGTAATCGAAGCATTACCCATCAGACGAAATAGCCGGAGGTAAAGAGACGGGTAAGCTGACACCTAGCCCAATAAGTGTCACAATATGCAATCAAGTCCAATAAGCCAGTGGATGGCAAGAGAATGCCCTGCCTCGGGGAATTTTCAAGTAACGGATAACCTGTCTGCGGCAGCAACATGCGCATGAGAAGGAGAGTGCGCAAATCGACTGAGAATATTGACAGAGTAGACAATGTCAAGACGCGTGATAGTAAGGTTCTGTAAGCGACCAACCAAGCGGCGATAAGCAGACTTGTCCATCTCACGGGAAGTAGCCGAGGCCTCGGCAGAAGCACCATCTGGGTCACCAGGTGCTCGAGTAAGCTGGTGATTTTGTTCAATAGATGTAGAGATGGGACGCTCCCCCGTAAGACCTGCATCCTGAAGAAGATCAAGGGTCTACTTACGCTGACTCAAGAAAATACCCTTGTGCGAGCGAGCAACTTCAATTCCCAAAAAGTACTTCAAGGGGCCGAGATTCTTGATGCCGAACTGGTCATCCAACATAGTCTTGACGTGCTGAATGAATCCAGCATCATCACCAACAAGGACCACGTTGTCTACCTAGATTAATACGTAACAAAACTAGTGGAAGTCTTCCGAACGAACATCGAATAATTAGCAGGCGACCGTGTGAAACCCATACCAAGAAGAGTAGATGTAAACTTGGCATACCAATTGCGAGACCCCTCCTTCAAGCCATATAAGGACTTATGCAGACGACATACCCGAGTATCACCAGGAGCAGCAAAACCAGGAGGTATAGTCATGTAAACCTCCTACTCGAGATCACCATGCAGAAAGGCATTGTTCACGTCAAGCCGGTGAACTGTCCAACTGCGAACAGTAGCTACAGCAAGTAAAGTACGAACACTATCCAGTTTGGCCACTGGTGCATACGTGTCGTGGTAATCAATCCCTTCGACCTGTGTAAAGCCTTTAGCCACGAGATGAGCCTTATAGTGCTCCACAGTCCCATCCGGATGATACTTAATTTTATATACCCACTTGGGCGTTATGGCCTTCTTTCCTAGCGGCAAAGGAACCAAAGACTAAGTATGGTTGGCCTCCAATGCACCTATTTCAAATTGCATGGCAACACGCCATTCAATATACTGAATGGCTTGATGGAAATGATTTGGCTCAGGAACGGCGGACACCGAGGCCAAGAAAGCTCGATGACTAGTAGAAAATGCATGATAACTTACATGTTGAGCTAGGGGATGAGGTATGTTGGAAGGAGGCAGGTTCGTGTCATACACAACAAGATGACGAGGCACAAACTGCATCTGGTCACTGCGTCGAACCTCGGGCTAGGGAGGAGAGGCTTCTGAGGAAGTTGCACCCGAAGTGGAGGGTCGTCAGGCATCTCGGAGGAATCAGAAGCACCCTCGTCATCGGAGTCAAACTCATGCCGCTCGGCCGTAGCGGTAAGATCGGGATTGTCAAAGGGAGGCGGAGGAACTAGCCGAGGAAAAACAAGAATAGAAGAAGGAGCAGTAGTCTCCCCAGCATGGAAGGGAAAGACATGCTTGATGAAGACCACATCGCGGCTCACGTAGAACTTCCGTGCCGCAAGATCCCAGAGACGATACCCCTTGTGTTGAGACGGGTACCCAACGAAGATGGAGGGGTGTCCTCGTTCACTAAACTTCGAGAGACTCTTATGGGTATCCTTACCATAGGCTAGACAGCTGAAAACGCGGAGATGACCATAAGTAGGTGGGCGACCAAGGAGTAATTCATAGGGCGTTCGGTTGTCAAGAACTGTGGAGGGCAGTCGATTAATCAAGTATGTTGCCGTAAGAACTGACTCACCCCAGAATGCCAAAGGTAGATTGGCGCGAAACATGAGGGCACGTGAGGTTTCTAAACGATGTCGATGCTTTCTTTCCACGACCCCGTTCTGCTGCGGGGTGTCAGTGCATGAGGTTTGAAGAAGGATACCCCGAGCCTCATAGAAAGACTGCAAACTTGTTTGAAATTCCATCCCGTTATCGACCTGAATACGAGTAGTCGGCTGCCCAAACTGAGTAGCAGCCATGTTGACCATCATTCTTGAACCGTTTGAGAGTTGATTCTCGTGTTTTAGGCCGATTTCATGCTAGGTTGTTTGTTTATGTCATATTTCAGGACTTGGCGTGGATATAGAGGCGTGGAAACGAGTTTCGGGTCGAAAAGTGGAAAGTTGGAGTTAGAGGAGCTGTCAAGCAAAAATACTCGGTCAGGCACTGAAATAACTGACCGGGTAAACGAGAAGGAAGGACCGGGTAAAACTATTTTGAAGGCCAAAGAAGCAGAAGGGGTCCCGGCCGCGAAGCTTAAATACCCGATCGGGTATTTCCCCCTGTCAGAGCGCTGCGTTTTGATAATACCCGGATGGTCCCCAGTAATACCCGACCGGGTATTAAGGCTGGGTATCGCGATCTTCCCCTTTTGAAGGGAAGAAAGCCTCTTTTGAGAGGGGATCTGATTTTTAGAGATAGAAAGCAGAAAACTGAGAGAGAGAGAGAGAGAGTGACGAACAGAACTTCCAAGTGCCTTAAATCGATCTCCAACACTATTGGAGCTCGGGGGAAGCTTGGAGAAGTGCTGATTGATTACCAGAAGCAGATTTTCATCCTTTACATAATGATTTCCGCATCTGAAGCAGATTTCTATTCTCTCATTATAGATTAAACTCTTTCACTCACCTAGGTATGAAGAACCCTAGATTTGTATGTTAGGTTTGGTTGTATGAACCCAAGTACATGTTCTTTGATACCGATTATATTCAATTGAGGCATGATTTTCTGAATTGCATGAATCCTGATCAAATTCCTGTAGTTCCTGCTTTGCCCTAGAAAAAGAATATCCTCCTAGGTTGATAGAGCACCCTTAATTGAAGGTAGTGAATTGACAACTTTAGTCGAGAAGTCGGTTCACTATTATGTACTGGATTTACTCCAGTAGAGGAGGTTTGGTGCGTTAGGGCCTCAGTCTTTTTACTCCGGTGGAGGTTAGTCGCCCGCTGGGGATTCAAATTGAGAGGGTCTGGAGACCTTTAGTCGAGACTTCAGGCTGTCTAAGAACCTTCCACAGTATAATTATCATTGAAACTGGACTGGGTGAATTACAACTTGGCTTAACTGCAGTCTAGGGGGAACCATATCTGGGTGACCTCTCTCAAACTTGGAACACAACCTTTACTGCTTTTGTTTGCTAGTTTAGTTGGAACTTTACTACAGTTGAACTGCTAAATACTAAGAATTTCACGGAGTAGTCATCACATTTAGGACCCGGGTTGACATTTAAATCTAAACTCGCTATACTACGCATTAGTAGGTGGTTACACTTGCCCACTTTCGAGTGTGACAGTACAAGCGAGTCAAGTTTTTGGCGTCGTTGCCGGGGACGGCTAGGTTGTTGAACAAACGTGATTTCTGTTACTTTAGCATTTCTTTTCAGCATTGATTGTTTTGCTTTGTCCCACTTGTGCCTTCACGGATTTGCTTGCTTGGCTGTGTGCAGGTAGTGTATGACTCGTAGCCAGTCAGGAGAATTATTACCATTGGATCCGGAGCTAGAACGCACTTGTCACCAGCTTAGGAGAGAACAACGAACAAGACTGGCTACGAAGGAAGTGCACGTTGACGGCCATCTAAGCAGCGACTCCTATTAGGAGTACGAAATTGGCGACGAGCACAACAGGGTGAACCTGAACCTGGGTCAGAACCAACCCCTAGGATGTCCATGCAGGTTCCCCGGGTGAATCGGATTCTGGCCAATAATCTAGTTCCCCAAGCAGATGGTGCTCAACATCAACCACCCCCGCAAGATCGCTGACATCCGCCCCGTCATCCTGTATCCGCCCATTCCACCAAATAACTTCGAGATCAAGCCATGCTAGATTCAACTGATAACATCCTCCATCCAGTTTCATGGCCTCAAGGATGAGGAGGCGAGGGTGCACCTTTCCAGGTAATTGCAGCTTACCAATGGGTTCAAGCTGAATGGTGTACCAGATGATGCGATCCGTCTTCACCTCTTCCGCCACTCTTTGGTGGGGCATGCAAAGAGGTGGCTAAAGACCCAGCCACCATTGTCCATCACTTCCTGGGACGATCTATCCAAAAAGTTCGTGCACAGGTACCATCCGGCCTCGAAGACCTCAGAGATTTAGCGGGAGATCACTCATTTCCGCCAGGAGTCAGATGAGTCACTACGTGATGCCTGGGAACGGTACTCGAAATTTTTACGACAATGTCCCCATCACGGTTTTAGTGATGCATCATTGTGGGGAACTTCTATAGTGCTCTATCTCTAGAGAGCCAGAGGGTGATCGAGTCTCTATGCCTAGATGGGGACATTCTCACTCAGACTCCCCCCCGAGTTGAACCAGATGTCAGTACTTTGGCTGCTAGAGATCACTCTTGGGGGCAGAACACTAGAGGCAGGAACTCCCGGGATCGAGGTGTGCATTCCATGCAGGCTAGATCTAGGCTTGAGCGGGAGGTGACCGAGCTGGTCCAGACATTAAAGCAGCCCAACAGTCTTATTCCTGGTAAAGGATTGGCCACCCCTTCGGTTGCACAGTGCCACTGGTGTGAGAGCTTGAACCATTTGGTGGAAGACGGCCAGGCTATGTTGGAGTCTTCTACACCCTAAAAGCAGTTGGACTTCATCGCTAGCATCCCAATTCCTCCTATAATGGCAACAACGGCAACACCACCAAGCCTCCCGATTTCCCAAATATAGCGGGTGGTTTTCAGCAAAGGCATCCTTTCCAAGCTCGATATTTCCACAGCAGCAACCTTATCAGCCCAGACTGAGGCAACCATTTCAGCAGCAGTAGCGACAGTTTGCCTAGCCAGCAGTAGTTCCATCACAAGATGACCAGATGTTAGAGCTGAAAAACATGGTGCAGACCTTCGTGAGTGCCAACACAACGAATTTCTCCAGGCTGGACCAGTGCATCACCTCACTGGAGGCAGGCCAGAGGAACCAGGGTGCCATAGTGTTGGATCTCCAAAACCAGATTGGAGGCATAGCTTGCCAAAACAACACTAGAGCACCGGGAACTATGCCCGCTACCAGCATCCCAAATCCTGGTGAGCCTCACAAGCAGTTAGATGCCATCACTACTCAAAGTGGCAAGACGACATCTGCTATCCCTGCTCCGGCCACGCAGGAGGAATCAAAACCTGCTTCAGCACTTCTAGCTGACAACGAAGAGGTGGGGATCGAGACAGAAGCGCCTGCTCCCAAGCCATAACCAATGGTTAAGGAACATGTTCCACAGCTTCCCTTCCCCCTTGAATGCACAAAGACAAGCTGGAGACTGAGTTTGCCAAATTCATGGCAATGTTGAAGCAGGTCAACATCAGCATGTCGTTCATGGAGGCACTGTCGAAGATGCCCAAGTACGCCTAATTCATGAAGGATCTCCTCACCAACAAAAAGAAACTTGGGGATCTCTCGATAGTGATGCTGAGCGAGGAGTGTTCTGCCATCCTGCAGAACAAGCTGTCCGAGAAGCGCAAAGACCTAGGGAGTTTTACTATCCCTCTTATTGTTGGCAACATGCATGTAGGAAAATCCTTGGCGGACCTAGGCGCTAGCATTAATGTCATGCCCTATAAACTGTTTAAGAAGCTAGGTCTAGGTGAACCTAGAACCACTAGGATGAGCATTCAGTTAGCTGATCGCTCTATTGTGCATCTTAGGGGTATCATAGAGGACTTGTTTGTTAAGTGTTAACATGGGTGCATTCGCATATCCTGTTGATTTTGTTATTCTGGATATAAATGAGGATGTGGATGTGAATTTTGATTTTGGGTAAACCATTTCTCACCACCGCCAAGGCGCTGATTGATGTGCACAGTGGCAAGTTAATCTTGCGGGCTGGGGATGAACAAGCTACATTTTCTGTTGCCGATAATGCGAAGCATTCCCATTTTCATGATGACTTGGATTACTGTGATATGTTGGCTGATTTTGAAACCGCATTCGCCATCACGAGTGCGGGTACTGATGATACACTAGAGATTGACAAACAGTTCAAACCGATCTCATCCTCTCCCCGCATCACCACCTCTCTGGAGGAGCCACTAGAACTGGAGCTAAAGCCCCTCCCTCCTCACTTGGAGTATGCATTTCTCCGGAAGGGGAACAAGCTTCCAGTCATCATTAGCTCGTCCCTGCCACCCGAGCAGAAAACAAGACTAGTGGCCATGTTGAAGCAGTATGAGCGAGCTCTGGCGTGGAAGATCACTAATATCCGGGGATCAACCCTTCTTTCTGTTCCCACCGGATACTTCAAGAGGATGAGATGCGGCCAGTGAGGCAGCCCCAACGGAGATTGACACCGAACCTGGAGGCAGTGGTTCAGGCAGAGATTGTGAAGTTGATGGACGCGGGGATCATCTTCGCCATTTCTGACAGCGATTGGGTCAGTCCAACTCAGGTGGTACATAAAAAGGGTGGGATGACCATGGTACCCAACGAGAAGAACGAGCTCATCCCGATGCACACGGTGACAAGGTACCACGTCTGCATCGACTATCCTCGCCTCAATGACGCCACCCGAAAGGACCACTTCCCGCTGCCTTTCATTGACCAGATGCCGGAGAGGCTGGCGGGACATGAGTTCTACTGTTTCCTGGATGGGATGTCCGGGTATTTTTCAGATCCCCATTGCACCGAAAGACCAGGCGAAGACCACCTTCATCTGCCCTTTGGAACATTTGCTTATCGGAGAATTCCGTTTGGGCTTTGCAACGCCCCAGCCACATTTCAGCGATGCATGCTCGCCATCTTCAACCGACTGGTTGGAGAAATCATGGAGGTGTTCATGGACGACTTTTCGGTTTATGGGGACTCATTCTCTCACTGCCTCCAAAACCTAGAACTCGTCTTGAAATGGTGTAAGGAGACGAACCTGGCACTGAGTTGGGAGAAGTGCCACTTCATGGTTCGCAAAGGCATAGTTCTAGGGCATAAGATATCCAAGATGGTTATAGAGGTATATAGAGCCAAGATCGAGAAAATCAGCAAGCTGCCTCCTCCCACATCTGTTAAGGGGATCCGCAATTTCTTGGGCCATGCATGGTTCTATAGGCGGTTCATAAAAGACTTCTCCAAGATCGCCTTGCCCCTGACGAAGCTCCTTGATAAGGATGCCCCCTTCCAGTTAACTGACGCGTGCACAATGACATTCACGACCTTGAAGGAGAAGCTTACTCATGCTTCTATCATGGTTATTCCTGACTTGTCTTTACCGTTCGAGCAGATGTGCGACGCCACTGACTTTGCTGTTGGAGCTATTATGGGGCAAAGGCAAGATCAGCACTTCCGTCCTATCTACTACATCTCAAAGACCCTTAACAATGCCTAGGAGAACTACACCACCATGGAGAAGGAGCTGCTAGCGGCGGTGTTCGCCTTCGATAAGTTCATCCTTATCTGGTCTTGTTTCATGGGACATTGTACATGGATCACTATGCAATATGATACCTGATGAGCAAGGCTGATGCCAAGACGCGGCTCATACGATGGATCTTATTAAAGCAGGAGTTCGACATCGAGATCCGGGACAAGAAGGGAGCCGAAAATACTGCTACTGATCATCTCTCCCGGTTGGAAGCACCTCCTGCGGACGACCTCGAGGAGATCGACGACTCCTTTCTAGAGGAGCGACTGATGATGATGTGCTTGGTGGAGAGTGTCACCCCTTGGTACTCCAATTTTGCAAACTATCTGGTGGGCCAGCAACTGCCCAAGGGGATGACGGCTCACGCCAAGAGGAAGTTCTTCTCCGACCTGAAGCACTACTTCTGGGATGACCCGCATCTCTTCAAGATCGGAGCCGACGCGGTCATCCGTCGATGTGTGATGGAAAGTGAGATGGAGGGAATTTTGTCTCATTGCCATGAGGGACCTAATGGCGGGCACCATGGTGGTAACTGCACGACGCTGAAGGTACTACAGTCAGGCTTCTACTGGCCCTCGCTCTTCAAGGACGACGACACCTTCGCACGTAGGTGCGATCGATGCCAAAGGTCAGGTAACATCTCTGTCCGTAATGAGATGCCCCATAATGTGTTTATAACTTGTGACATTTTTTATGTATAGGGTATCGACTTCATGAGCCCCTTCCCCCCATCATTTGGTAAACGTATATCTTAGTTGCTGTTGATTACGTCTCTAGGTGGGCTGAGGCACAAGCTTTGCCCACCAATGATGCTAGACGTGTTTGTCAGTTTCTGAAGCAGCTGTTCTCCCGGTTCGGGACACCTAGGGCCATCATTAGCGACAGAGGAACCAATTTTCAAGCTAGTTCGATAAATTACTCTCTCTCTATGGTGTCACTGACAAGGTGTCCATGACCTAGCAACCCCAAACGAGTGGTTAAGCCGAGCTGACGAATCGGGAGCTTAAGCGCATACTAGAGAAAACGGTGGATCAATCTCGTAAGGATTGGTCCACCAAGCTCGATGATGCTCTTTGGGCATACTGAACTGCCTACAAGACGCCAATTGGTACTTCGCCGTATCGGCTTGTCTATAGAAAGTCATGTCACTTGCCAGTGGAGCTAGAGCACAAGGCTTTCTGGGCCCTTAAGCTGCTCAACTTGGATGTTAGTCTTGCAGGTGCTGAACGCATATTGCAGATGCTGGAGCTGGAGGAGTGGCGTTACCATGCCTATGAGAACACCAAGATGTTTAAGGAGCGAACTAAGTGTCTTCACGACGCTCGATTGAGGGGTCCAAAGGAGTTTCAGGTTGGCGATCGAGTTCTCCTCTGTAACTCTCGCCTGAAACTCTTTCCTGGAAAACTCTACTCCCGGTAGTCTGGACCGTTCACGATCACACAGGTGTTCCCGTATGGCACGATCGAGATTGCCAACCCACAGACTGATTCGTTTAAAGTGAATGGTCATTGTCTCAAACTCTATCTGGGAGACGAGGTTGAACGTGCGGAGTTGGTAATTAACCTCGCAGACCCTTAATTCCGGCCAGACACTCTCTCTCTCCTCTCATTTTTTCAGAATTTCCCCTCTCTTCCTTCTCTCTTCCTCCCCTGCTCTCTCGTCAAAGCAATTTTTCACGGCGGAATTTTGTAGATCCCGTCTTCGTCCGACCTCCAAAATAAAATCCGTTCGCGAATTCAGGATCTACGTTGCGGGGCACCCCTTAGCCAGCAATTTCGTCCAATTTGGGCGAATTCCGTTTTCCGACCACCGCCTACCGCCACCGGCGACTCTCAGTGATTTTCCGGCGAGCTTCCGGCAAGTCCTCCACGACGTTTTTTGGTGGTTTCCTTCCCTCACCCTTTGCTCGTGTCCCTTTACGGTCCTACTTGTTTTTCTATGTGTGTATCTTGATCACTTTTTCTTTTTTTTCCTGGAAAATCGGACTACAGATGTTAGACCCGAGAATTGTGAATTCTTTGGCATGTTTGAACTAGAATAGGGTGAGGGATGTCGTGGATGTGATTAGCTAGTGCATGATGAATGCCCAAATGCTTGAATGACTCGCCTTTACCATGATACTTGCTTGAAATGCGGTTGTTTTGCGTGCATATCAACTGTTTTGTGCTTGATTGCCTATCCCTGCTTGCGGTCCCAACCAGAATTTTCTTGGTTCCACCTTTGGGTTGTTCATTTTGCAGGATCATGTCTCTCGACCACCCCTACGTGCAGGGCCTGCGCCTCCACCCCGACTATGCGGACCAGTTCCGACGAGTCCTTAACGGGGTGTTTCACCGTCACCACCACCTTGTGTGGGGAGTTTTCCACCAGCTCCACTGCCTGGATGAGATTGTCGCCGCCATCAGCCACCCTCACTGGCGGGTTCTCCTGTGCACACACGATTCCACCTACACAGAGCTGGTGTGGGAGTTCTACTCCACTTTTCAGTATTGCACCAAGGTGGCCCTAGACTCCCCCACCAGTGTCACCTTCCTACTCGGCGGCCACATGTGAGAGATGAGCATCGACAGGTTGGCCCATGCACTGGGGATCCACTACCACCCGTACTCTCGCCACGAAAAGAAGGTCTCCCATCCCAAGGACTGGCATCAGGATGCGTTCTACCGCAGCATCGCCCATCCTGACTACCATATGGACGCCTTCGAGGCCGACCAGACGTATGTTTCCACCATCTGACCAGAGTGGCACATCATCAACCTCCTGCTCACCTGCTCGATTACTCCCAGCGCCACCGGATCTCACAAGATACCGAAGCGGGTGCTCTATGCCATGTACTCGATGACGCGCCCCAACCACATGCTGCACTTGGGGTCTGTCGTGGCCACCACCTTTGCTCGGTGCCACGACAAACCCACATACTTTTTCTATGGTCCCCTGATCACGAAGCTGGTGCGCCACTTCGAGATCGACTTGGAGGGGTTGACTGACGCCACAACATAGGATGGTTCCTCTCCTCTCAGCCGGGAAGTAATTCACAACGCACTCCTGCTGGCCTCTGATGGCGGGAGATCGTGGGTTGATGGGATGTCCATGCCTCCGGGCGAGGATGATGCGGATGATGAGGGTGACTAGGAGGACAAGGACTACACTGGCGAGGATGAGGCCGATGATGATGATGATGATGATGATGATGATGATGTAGGGGCTATGGATGCTGAGATGCCAGAGCACCCACTCTCCCCACCAGGGGATCTTCTTCCACGACGGAGACCCCGCGAGTCTAGTCCTCCACCGGTCCTTCTGCTCCTTCGATGGACTTCTTCATAGAGCATTTGTTTTAGAGTGACAAACTCATGATGTTCATTTGTTTTACTTGATGGCCAAATCCTGCGTAGGTCAGACCCATTCAACTCTTTTATTTCATGGTTAGCGGTTAGCCCATTAGAATCCATGCATTAGTTTATTGTTAAAATTTTTCTTTTTAGCAATAAAAAGAGTATTGTTTTTTCCTTTTCATATATATTTTACCACCGCGGAGAAATAAAAGGGCTTAAAGAAAAAAAATTGACACTCCTGGACTCGTTTAAATCCGCATGTGTATGGTAAGTTGGCCCATTCCACAGAGAAAAGAGAAAAAAAATTGACACATCCTATTCTACTCTTCCTACAAATGCTCCTGGAGTAGGGAATTTAAAATGGGGGGAGGATTTTTTTCTCCCCGCTATTATATGGTTTTAATTTAAAAAGATACAACAAATGTACTTAGTATGATTGGTTATGATCCTTGCTTTTTTTTAAACTTTAAAGTGGTCATGGTTTGAATCTCAGTACGTATCTTTTTAATTAATAAAAAAAGTAATTGTGAAGACCAAGATGTCATTCCTACTTTCACTCTCGTTGCAGGAAATTTGAAATGGAGCAGCAATTTTCCCCTTCTTGCTATTATATACTAGTTTTTTGGCCCGCGCTCCGCCGTGATGGAAACTAATGAGTTAGTTTAAATCAAATAATTTAGAAAATTATTCAGATAAGATACACATGTAAGTTTCACGTGATGTTTTAATAATTACGAATAACATACGTCATCCATTTGGCTAAGTGATACATTGTAAATAACTATTTCTATATAATGTTTACGTAGTGTTTAATTATTATAGAAAACTTACATATTTTTTTAATTGATACATAAATGATTATTTGTCCATAAACTTTACGTAGTCCTAATAATTAAGTAAAACTCATGTAATAGTTATAGAACGTTATTAAATAATTTTTTCATAATGTATGGTCTAATAGTATAATCAAGTTATAGTAAGTAACATCGACAAATTTTCAATTTATATAACTTTTATTAAATTTTGTTACATAAATATTTCATAATGTGGTCTAATAATAATTTCTTATGAATTTTAGACTTATCTTTGAAGTGGTTGTAGAGAATAAAACACATATAATATTGCAGAAAAGGAGATTCATAATATGTTGTGTAATAATAATTATTTATGAATTTTAGACTTACATAAAAGTGGTTGTAGGGAATAAAAATCATATGAATAATATTACAGAAAAGGAGAAAAAAGGGATTATGATAAAATTGGGTATATGAGATAAAACCCTATTGTGAACAGTACCCATGGAGAAAAAATAGCCTATTTTTCTTAATGAACAGTAAAAAGTATTTATTAAAGTCGTTTGATCGTCAAACAACTTTTTTCTCTCTTTCCATCATTATATTTGTTTGATCGAATGAAATATTATTACTTATGTGTGTATTTTTTTAATTTTTCATTAAAGTATAACTTATAATTTCTAGTATAAATTAGTAGAAATTTGACTTAAAGATGTAATAATATGTTTTGGTTTAAAAAAATTCGATAGATGTAACTTTACAAACATTAGTCTAGTATCGCATATATAATGCAAAAGAAAAAAGGAATTATTGATTGAAAGAAAAAATATTAAAAGTAGAGAGAGATAGCTACATAAATATGTCATTAACTAAATTTTTTGTTTCCAAAAAAATTGTCCACCTTGGCAACTTGTGAAATCTTCAAATACTTATGTGGCAAGAAGTAACTTTTGAACAACCATAATATATAGTAAGATAAGATAAGATTGTGTAGAGATATTTCAAAATAAGACCAACGAAATTGGATTATCTCCTCGACTCTGACACTCGAATCAGTCATAACTCGATAAAGATTAAAAAAAAAGTTCAAAAGCAAACCTAAAAACTATCTCATATTAGAGCTTTTATTAGTATCATTAGAATTATCATTATCATTATAAGATAAAACAAAGATCTACAAAATGATTAGTCAGCAACCAAGATACAATCTTAGCCCCGCTTTTTTAGCTACAGCAAAACTAAGTTTAGTAAAAATATATGCGGCCGCCCGAACTCCTACATCATGAGACACTGAGAATTTATGGATCTGTTTGAACAGAGCCACAGCTTTCGTGTCCAACTCTTCCAAGGAAGGGGGGGAAATGGTAGTAAACTGTAACTAGCCGTCATGAACAACTCCCGATACTTGGCACACTTTCCTTGAGCAGCATCATCAACAACACGGTCTTGCACAAAACCAGTCATTCCTGTCTGAGTCAAAGGTGACGACCCAGTCATATCGACAACCACATCTCGCCCCGATTCCATGAATAAAGCAGCAAATCCGCAGGATGAAGGGGTCTGACATGCCCATCAACCAAACCGATATCAACCTCCCTACCTACAGAAATCTCAAACCTATAACAAATATCCAATAATGTGTCATGAAAGAGGTTATGTCGATGCTTAACGCTCATAATATCATTATAATTAATTACTTTTATTATGTTTTTGATTGAATGGGGTTAGTTGAGATCCACTTTATTCTTAATCAGGCTTTCTGTGCTGAATTAGCATTATCAAGTAGATAATGCGGCCTCATCATGATTCACACTCCTTAATTTCCGTCCCTTTCGTTCATAATTATATCAATTTCGCTACATTCCTTAGACAACAAGATGCACTATAATTAAGTCCAGATACTAACAGAATTTACAACATCATTATTGACAACTGAAATTCCAGTCTGAATACTAGAAAAATTATCATTACCTGCCGCCCAACAGTGAAGTGCTTTTTACCTAACTCCTCCACTTTCACCTAATCTTGAAGTTGCAAATTTTTACCAAAGAATACTATCTAGTTTGTTGCTGCCCGTGGTCCATTAAAAGTTAACAAATTGTCTACTGAAACACTACTAAAGCCTTTGGTTCATTTCCACATACTCTTTCCTTTGTTGTGAAAGTGTTTCATTCCACATATATGTGTCGATGAACAACTGACATTCTTCGTCAATCTAGTTACTGTTTGGATTTCTCGGCTTGAGACAATCATATATATGTATGAGTTTCATAGGACCTGTTGTAATGTTTTGCTTTTTGTCGTGACACAATCCTTCGAACAGATACCTAGATTAATGCACATCGGCGGATCTAGGGAGGGCCAACCTGGGCCCGGGTACAGCCCTCCTTTCGGTCCAGCGCTTATACAGAGCCCCCTCCTCCTCTGTTTGCCCAATGATAATCGGGCTGACCCAGTCCTCTTATCTCATTTGTGTGTAAGTTAATAGACTGTCCTTTGGGAATAGAGTTGGGTAGTTTTTGTTTATTGAAGAAACTTTATCGTTGGGTAAAGTGTTTTTGTTAGTAGACTATTAAAACAAAAGGGAAGTTGGGGTAAAAATAAAGAGTGGGCTTTTGTTGTGTTTGTTAATTCTTGGTTGAAAGCCCACTCATTTCTACTTGGTAAAGAACATAAGTAGGACACGTAGTCTTAGAAATGAAACATATATGTTTGTTTTTTTTATTAATGATATCAAAATTAGAGATAGAAGGTTAATTCGAAACTTGAAAGTATATAATTGTTGTGATATTTGATTATGCATATTTGAAGATACTTTATAATAGCATATTCTCAAGCACCAAATAAAAGGCAAAAACGACCTTGTTTTCTTATTATCGGTTGATTCGTATAGTTTTGATTTTGTCCGTTTCAACAGCTACTACATATATGACCTTTTTATTATGGAACATGTGAACTAATTTGCGCAACAAAATATGCGATAATGCGATGAGTTTCTTGCTGATTGCTTAACTATTTTCTTTGAGAGAGAGTATGTTATTGGTATGGATGAAAACTTTGTTAATTATCGGTTGATTCGTATAGTTTTGATTTTGTCTGTTTCAACAGCTACTACATATATGACCTTTTTATTATGGAACATGTGAACTAATTTGCGCAACAAAATATGCGATAATGCGATGAGTTTCTTGCTGATTGCTTAACTATTTTCTTTGAGAGAGAGTATGTTATTGGTATGGATGAAAACTTTGTTATTGATGAATTTGCTAAACTAAAAGAATGTCGTGTACAATTGACATTATAATAAAAATCATAGTTATTATTAAATATTTGTGTTTACAGTATCTAATTTTTTATTCAAATGCGGCCTAGTACTCCACTAAATCCTGAATCCGCCGCTGGTAATGCACTATACATGTCTGCCTCCAAGATCTCATGCGGAGCTGTCAAGTCACGCTCCAGATGCTCGAATGAAGTGTCCTCAAACTCCAGATTTTCCGATGGCTTAAAATCACAAGTTCCGGTTACGGCCCGCTTTAGTTATAATACTTATGTTTGGACCTCTTCAATTCCCACACAATCTAGTATATTACGAGAAGGGTTATAGGTATAATATGCCCTATACTATGCAATTTTATCAAACATGCCCCTCGACTATTTTTTACATCAAACATGCCCCTATACTTTGGAAAAATTATCAAACATGCCTTTATGTAAAAATTTCCATTAAAAAATGGTCAATCACATTTGAACCGAGATTCACACGACCTGACATCGGAAAAATTAGGGTTGAAATGTCAGTTTTTCTTCATTTATTTCTCCAGATCTAGTTAAAGTGAAATTATTAGAGGTATTTGGCTATACAAAAGAAGCAGAACAATTCTAAAGTAAAATTATTAGGAATATTTTAGACATAGGTGTTGCCCAAACAAAGCTTCGACCATGATTGATGGTTTTTGGATGCAAATTTTAACAAAAGGGCATGTTTGATCATTTTTACAAAGTATAAGGACATGTTTGATGTAAAAAATAGTAGAGGGGCATGTTTGATAAAACTACATAGTAGAGGGGCATATTATGCCTATAAACCTTACGAGAAACATCTTTTGATAGCCACTGATAGTGCTTTAATCACGAATTCGATTCTCCCGACAACTTGACGAAACACAAAATCAAACTAGACTCTACCGTAAACGTTGGGATCCTTCGATTTAAACAAAAAAATAATAATAATACTCCAGTACTCAGTTACATCAGCTATTCCTACCACCAGGGGTGGAGCTACACTCAAGCTAGGGTGGACCCCGGCCCCCCGTAATTGGTCCTGGCCCCTAGAATTGTAAGGATATTTAGTACAAATTTTATAAGTAGAACTTGTTCCGTAAATTCTATTGTGTGATAATCTTGTGGTCTAATGGTAGCCAAACTTGACTTGTGTTCTAAAGTACACGGGTTCAATTCATCTTAGCTACATACGTTTTATTTAATAAGAGGTTCAGCCACCGGTCTCGAAATCCTGGCAGGGGCCGACCCAGGGGCATTTAGGGGTGTCTCGGAACACCCCTAAATTTTGGAAGTTCGATTAGCCAACCCCGGTGGTAATTTACGTATAGAAAAAAAATTATAATTAATAGTCCGGGACACCCTGAAATTTGAAAGAACGATTATACTACTCTCGTTTGTAGATTGCATATAGGAATATAAGTGGTAGTTTGGGTAATTCAAACCCGGGACACTACTATTACTAATAAATATAATTTTCATTAGACTACAATTTTTTTGTTGTTATATTCTAAACACTGTGTAATCGCAAAACCATATTCTCTATCTTTAATTATTTTCAAAACCAAACAATTAATTTAATTACAAGCTACCCTTAATTTGTATTGATTTTATGGTTGTACGACAAGTGTTTAAAGTGTTTTTTCAGCTTTGAGTTTCATCATGAACAAATTTAGAAGTCAAATATGCGTTAGTTCGTGAATTATTGTCTAGTAGGATATACCGAGACAAATATATTGAGCAGTGTAGACACCACGTATCTTTTATAATTTTTTTAACTTGTACGAGTTGGGTATTTTTTTTATGAATCGGTATACTTTCATTCCATCAAAAAATTGTTGCTAGCAACACCCTTGCCAGCTAGGGGAATGGGATCAAAATGTTAAAGGAACCAGAAACAGAAGCCAAAAACACTACTCCTATGTAAGAGTCAAACATAGCAGACCAACCAACTAAACCAAAGAGCAAGCAACTATCCCAGGTAGGGGTAAGAGACTTAATGAAGCTAAGAACCAGAAGCCTAGAACCGTTCCAACTCCTTCAGATCCTGCACCAAAACACACACTTCACTCTTTATCGTTAAAACCAGAACTTCAGGAGACCTCTTACTGCCACCAAAAGCCCTCCTGCAACGTTCTCTCCAAATATAACTCACCATGGACTGCCAAATCAGTCGTCCTATCATTGCACACATAGACTTAGCTCCAAAATTCCTTATAGCCCAGTCTAGATTTTCCTCCCAAGTCTGCGGAAAGAAAGAACAAAACTTCCCCAACAGCAGCTGATGAACAGTAGAGTAGTAGGGACAGACAGAGAACAAGTCTCCTGCTTGATCACAGAGGGAGCAATGATCCGAACCAACAAATCCCCACTTTTTCATCTTGTCCTTAGTTTGAATTTTGTGCGAATAATAAGCCAGACAAGAAACCTGTTCCTAGGGACAGAAGGCCCTTTCCATATAAGCTTGTACCAACTTACTACATTGTGCTTTGGCCTAACAGCTTCCCAGATCAACTTTATAGAATATCTCTTCATTGGTTTATCATTCCAGTAGAGCAATCTGTCTCTCAAGCAAAACAGATTAGGGATCTTTGTTCTGATTTTCAGCAACTTCCCCCCAGTTCCATGAGCCACTAACAGTCACAGCCCAGAAATCTCTACCTTTCAACTTGTATGCCTGAATCCAAGCAACCCACAGTGAGCCATGCTGCATCATAACCGCCCAAATCTGTCTAAAGACACAAGCATAGTTCCAGGAAGTGAGATCCCTCAAACCCAGTCCACCTTCTTTCTTCGGGATAGACATATACTTCCATGCCATTTTTGCTTTAAGGTTAAGGCCAGGTCCAACAGACCAGAGAAAGTTATTGCATATTCTTTCAACCTCACGAATAACAGTCTTGGGGAGCATAAAGACATTCATCCAGTATTGTGACATGCTATACAAAATAGACCCTACAAGTTCCACTCTACCTGCATAGCTCAGAGATTTAGCCTTCCATCCCTGCACCCTACTTGTGATTCTGTCAATTAAAGGTCTGCAGGCATTTACTGTTAGTTTCCCAGCCACAAGAGGAACCCCAAGGTAGGGCACTGGGAACTCCCCTAGTTGATATCCATACATGTTAGCTCTTACTACCATCTCCTCCTTCTCTAACCCTCCAAAAAATATTTCACACTTGCTTGGGTTGGACTGAAGTCCTGAGAGCTTATGGAACACACTCAGAACCCTCTGTACATCTGAATACCATAATTGGACCCATCAGAAAAGACCAAGAGGTCATCATCGAAACATAAGTGAGTCAATCCAATTCTCTTGCACATGGGATGGTAAGGAAATCTTCCCTTTTCAGCTTCCAAATCCAAAAGACATGGAAAAACCTCTATAGCTAGAGCAAACAAATATGGGGAGAGGGGATCTCCCTGCCTCATACCTTGCTTGGCAGGAAAATAACCCACCAATCCCCCATTAAAAGCTATACTAAGCATAGGACTAGTGACACACATCCTAATCCATCTAATAAACTGATTAGGCACCCCCATAGCTTCCAGCACAACAAAAAGAAACTGCCAACTCACTGAGTCAAATGCTTTCATAAGGTCAATCTTGAGAGCTGATCTAGTAGAGATGTTCTTCCTAGAATACTTATGCACTAGCTCATGATCTAGGAGAATGTTTTCCCCAATAACCCTCCCTTTCACAAATGCGGTCTGATTCTTACTAATGACTAGGGGGAGGAGAGAGCTAAATCTATTTGCCACAATCTTAGAAATGCATTTATAAACTAAGTTGCAACAAGAAATAGGCCTGAAAAATTTCATCGCATCCAGATTTTGGACTTTAGGAATCAAAGCAAGAATTGTAGCATTTACCTCTCTTGGAATCCTCCCAGTCACAAAACAGTTCTGGATGGCAGTGGTAATTTCAGCCCCAACTACAACCCAAGAAGCCTGAAAAAATCCGGCATTGAATCCTTCTGGGCCTGGACTCTTGTCTCCATTGAAGCCAAACATAACCTCTTTAACCTCAGCAGCAGTAATAGGAGTACAGATAGAGAAAACTTGTTCAGCGTTGAGCTTGTGTCTTGAAGGCCTTTAAAAAACTCCACTGATTCTATCTCAACATGTGGATTTTCTCTTCCCAACAAAGCCATATAAAATTCAATAGCCACTTGGCACATGCCTTCAACTGATGTAACTGAATTACCCCAAGCATCTTTAAGAGAGGTAATTGTGTTCCTCTTTAGTCTGGTTCTCATAGATCGATGGAAGTAACCTGAGTTTGAATCCCCTACCCTTAACCACATCTCTCTTGATTTCTGCCTCAGAAAACTTTCCTCGACTTTTAGCAGCTCAAAAAGTTCTTTTGAAACCCTTACTTCAACCTCAAAGCTCATTTGAGAAGGGTTAGAAAGGGCAGACAATTGGATAGATTCCAGTTCTCTTTCCTTATATTTCACCCTTCCCCTTATATCAGAAAATTACTCCCTGTTAAGCTTCTTGAGCAAACCTTTTAGTATCCTAAGCTTTTTATAAACCCTTATCAGATGAGAACCTTCCACAACTTCAGTCCATGCTTGAGTGAGTAACTCTGCAAACATTGGATGCTCGAGCCAGAAGTTAAAGAACTTAAACGGCTTAGGCAGAGACTTAAGTGATAACTCAGTTTGAATAAACACCGGACAGTGATATGAGACTCCAGGAGACTATATGTGCACAACACTATGCTTCATCACTTCCAACCATTCCAGATTTACAAATACCCTATCAAACCTTCTAGCAATAGGATCATGCTGCCTCTTATTGAGCCATGTGAACCATGGCCCTGTAGATTTGTGCTCTTCAACCTCAATGTCTCTTAACCAATCATTGAAAGACTTCATACTAGTGGAATACTGAGGATTATTTGAGCCTTCACTTGGATCTCTAATAACATTGTAATCCCCAACAAGTAACCAGGGGAAATTTACTACTTTAAATCTGGATACAGCAGCATAAAGTTCTTCCCTCTGCCTCTCACTATTTGAAGCATACACAAACGTAGCAAAAAATCGAGCCTTACCTCCAACAAGGACATGAACAAACTGATCAGAGTTGTCTATGATAGTCAGCTGGATCTCAGAGCACCATACTAACAAAATTTTCCCCAAACCTTCATCATTGAATAAGATTTCCTGCCCCCAACCAACAAATCTCTTACCCTTCAGTTTCTTTGCTTCCAATCTACTTACCCGAGGTTCCAAAATAGCAACAATATCTAAACTATATTTATTTACCTTATTTAATATAGTTGTATACTTTTTATCCGCAACAAACCCTCTTGTGTTCCATGAGAGAAGCTTCATTTACGACCCCTGCCTCTCCCTCCACCTTTCCCTCCCCCCTTTCTTTCTGTTGTCTCTTACATCAGGAGGATCAATCCAAATCTTCTTACCCTTATCAGGAACACTTGGAGGAATTCTATTCTCTTTGTCAAGAATGGCAAACCTGGATCCAGTCTGAATAGCTCGAGTAGTCATCTGAGACAGCAAGCTCCCTTCAGCAGAAGGTGACTTACCACCAACAAACGATAGCAAAGGCGTGTTAGGGCTCCCAGCAACGGCTGATGACCCCTTCACCACCTCAGCAAAGCTAACTTGAGCCCCTCCTCCCCCCCCCCCCCCCCCCCCCCCCCAATTTGATGTAGGGGAGACTTCATCCCCAACATTTGGAACCTGCCCTGGATTTCCCTCAAGCGACCCCTTCACAATTACCTCATCAGCCAAATTTTCCATAACGCACTGAATAACTGACTCTTGCACTTGCTTAAGAATGTCCTCAATAGAAGCATTCTCTAAGTTCTCTTCAACCCTAACCTGAGCAACTGATTCCTCCCCTTGATCCAGCTCATTGTTTTTGGACACCGTAGGAATCCATACCCGTTGAGGGCCCTCCTCACAATTATGCCCAAAGACACGACACTTAGAATACACATTCGGGAGATTTCTATACTCGTCTAATGTCAAAAGAGGGATCCTCATCTGGATAAATCCGAATTGAGGAGGGAAATGAATAGTCAGCAGCAAGCTCGACACACGCCCGAGCAAACCCTAACTGACCTCCCACTCTCGTCTTCTGATCCGTCCAAAACGGCCTCCCAATCATGCTCATCACCCACTCCAACCCTTCCGGAGCAAGGTATTCTAGTGGAAGGCCCCAGATTCTTACCCAGATTGACAACGTCTCAATTTTAGGAACAATCGGTTGTATGCCTTATTTCCATTTTCAAAAGAAAATAGGATTACCTGTGAAATGCCAAGGCCCTGACTGGAAAACTCAATTGCACGCAGCAGCAGAAGGAAACTAACACCAGGAGCTTGTTCCCAAACTTCGACACTCGGACAATGCCATCTCGCCCACAGAGAGCATTCGCCCATGACTGCAGCTCTGGTATTTTTGGCCTAGTCCTAACGAACTGACCAATAAGCGAATTCTTCCACCGCTCCGCTCCCTTCTCATTCACCTCTTTCGGAAGGCGGAAATCCATCTTGGAATTTGATAGGCGGCCGATATTGGAGTCGATTCTCTGGGGCAACCTCGAACAGCTGCGCCCAGGAACTGCCCTCGCTAGCCGGAGCAACCGAGGGCGAGGCTGACATCGAAAACCCTACAAAATCAGAGAGAAGAGAGAAGGGAGAGAGAAAATTTCAGTGGGTATTTTCTTATTTAAGAATAATATAATATTTATTAATTATCCCATCAAGAGAGAGGGCAGGGGAAAGACCCTAAGCCTATCTCTCCAACTCAGTAGAGTGACTTCGTACTATTAATTATTAAATTTTTATTTTACTTTATTTTTTGAAAAAGGACACACTTATATAAAATTCTTGGATCCGCCACTCCTCTACCTACCACTATTATTCCACTCTACATCATGTTATCCAAATCCAACTATCATCCCAATAGTCCATTGACTAAATTGTCACAAAAAGGTACAAATATATCTCTCGCATAAAATTCTTGACGATCTCCTGCCACCATTAATAAACAAACAATACAAATGTAACAAGAAGTTATAGAGACCATGGTGCCCATCTCTTTCCCTCGTCATCTTCTTCCGTTGGTTTGTCTTTCGGTTTGACAAAACAAGGTTGGTTTGGTGGTGGTCCGAAAGATTGACAGAAACCAACCAGAGAGAGAGAAAATTCCTATAACGTGAGTAAAAAAGCTACATTTGTCGTAGGGCTGCAAATGAGCAAAGTCGCTCACGAGCAACTCGGCGTTCGAATCGGAAAAAACACGTTCGACACTCGACTCGTTGTTTAATATGAGCCAAGCCGCTCACGAGCAACTCGGCGTTCGAATCGGAAAAAACACGTTCGACACTCAACTCGTTGTTTAACAAGTCGGCTCGTTAGTAAACGAGCCAAGCTTGAGCTAGGCCATGCTCGGCTTGATAAGCTCGTGATCTAGCTTGACTCGGTGGCTTGTTGAGCTAAGTTAGTGAGCTGGCTTGTTTAAACCTTGTGGAAGGATTAATTACTCTTTTGAACATAAAAATTATCTTGTTAATAAGGATGTGTATGGAAATTAGATGTTATTTTTAGTTTCTAGTGTTCTGTTTAACATTTTTAATTTCTAATGTTCTTATTTGTACACATTTTTCAGCAAGAATGATTTCAAATTGAGCTTATCTTGAGTCGAGCTTGTACTCAGCTTGACAAGCTGTCTTAATGAGCATTTACCGAGCTCTATCAAGCTGAGCTCTATCGAGCCGAGCTCGAGCTGGATTATTTTTAATCGAGTCGGGCTCGATCTCGAGCTAGATGATCAGAATTCGAGTTCGAGTCGAGCTCGGGCTAAAAAATTTATAAACGAGTCGAGCTCAAACTAAGCAAAAACTCGACTCGACACGTCTCGTTTGGAGCCCTAATTAATTTGTTGCGAGAAAAATATCTCAATATTTCATTGATTAAGTTAAGTTAAGTTAAGTTAAATTATCAGAAAATGGATTAATTAAGATAGGTTGATTTACATTGATATGAAGTTTGAGGAAAACCAATGGAACATTCTAAGCTTTGCATTAATTAATTAAAACCATATAGGATTAGAACAAGTTAATTAGTGATGCTACATATGTGACGGTTAGTACATGACCCAATGGAAGCCACAGTAGAAGAACGTAACCCCCATTATGTGCTCGATACTTGGATTTTTGTTTACAGATAAATATGAATATAATGTTATAGTCCGCCTCCAAGAAACTAACTTTAGGTTAAATTCATCAACAGCAAAAAGCAATCGAAGTAAATTTTGATTGAACAAACAATAAATTGAATCAAATTGATTTTGTTTCAATTCTCTTTGACTCTGCACGTACGCAAAAGAAAAGCAAACAGCAAATGTATTGAACAAAAATCAGGCAAGACTCTTAGGTACGTATCGTTTAATTCAATTCAGTGTGTGTAATAGCCCAATATAGAACGAACCAAACCGAAGAGAATAAATTGTGCGATTTTGTATTATATCCATGACATCAAATAACAGAACTGTTTACACTAAAAAATAATCGTGTACCGCATTAATTGTCTTTATAAGGCCAGATCAACAATAACAATTAATGTTATTTAAACTGGGTCTACGATACTAGATTTTTAAACCCAAATGATTAGGCCTGGCATGACGCGCGAGAATAAACTAAGTCTGGTGCCTCATCGCGACAAGCCTCCTC